TGTTTCCGTGGAGAACTGTGCAAATATCTCTATGGATACCATGAATATGCTACTTCTACCTCTGATATTGTGTCTGTATCTGATATTCCAGCTGATGTGAAAAAGAAGGCAAACAAGAAGAATAAAAAAAAAGCGCTCTAAAATGGAAACAAGTGCATGTTATGAAGAACCAATGAAAGAAGAGGTAGCTGATCCCTCAAAACAGGGGATGCAATTCAATTCTTGGCTAGATACTTCTTTGAGTGATGCAAATACCATGTCTTTATCTGGAGTTCCAGTTGAAATGGAGATAAGTGCCTCCAAAAATAATGATTTGGAGAATGTACTTATGCGCGACCAGCCAACTAAAAAGAAAGTAAAGAGACCTGATACATCTTGTGAAGAAACCGTGGTAGTAGAGTGACTGATGCCTCAAAATTGCTTAGTAATGGATGTAGGGTTTTTGCAGCATTGATGATAAATTTTATTTGAGTCGGCATTTTAGAAACTCTTTTTCATTAGATTTGAATTAATTGATCTCATGTCAAATTTTGGTTTTTGTTGATTGTCAATAATCCACAAATTTATGAATGTTTGTGTTCTATTTATCAAGCCATGAACAGGCTACTTATATTACTGTCTTAAATGCATCCCTAATTTTAGGATCTGCCAACATTTTATTCCTCGTTCTGTGTTACAACGTAAGGAACCATTCTTTCCTTGTATACATTAGGCAATGAAAAAATTAATTACAAACTTATTAGACAATTTATGCATATTTTGTCAGATTGTAGCTGATCAAATGCAGGCGTGTCCAGGATCTTTCAGTCATGTCGAATGGCATGCTGCCTGAAATATTTGGGTCTTTTTATCTGTCTCTTAAAACTGTTTGTGCTTTCCTGGTTTCTAGTTGCAAAAATTGACATGACTTGACGTGGTACCCCTACAAGGATCTTAGTTTGTGCAAGTTAGTTGAGTCTTGAGATTTGCTTAATGGACTCTAGCTCATTAATTTATCAAAGATAATTCTGTTCGTTAACTAGTTTTATCATCTTTCATAGGCATTTCGATATTATTCCAAGCCAGGCTGAATGCCTGTTAGTTAGCTTTTCCCTGATTAAGACTGTCGTGAATGCTTTTGCCATAACATTCAAATGGTAATTTTATATAGGGTGGGGTGTGACAATATTGCATATTGAATTAAAATTGTATTAATTTTTTTGTATTGAGCTTATGCTTTCATTTCCTCATTCTTTCTGAGAGTTTGAGTCCTATCCTGGTGCAGGTAGAAAATATAATACTTGCTGACAAGCATAAAATTGAGAATGACCAGAACGCTCAACTTAGGAATCAAGTTACTCAATTATTGCAAGTAGAGAAAGAACAAAAGTTGCAAATAAGAGAAAGAGATACAACGATTCAGAACCTGCAGGTGTGTTCTATTTGATACTGTCACTTGGCAGCTTCCTCACCTGCACTCAGGATGATATTTTGGAAACTGCAGAAATAGTCGAGTATTCATAGCTCATCACGTGCTCTTTATAGATTAGCTCATTGATATGCAAACCATACATATGAGCTTCATGGTGTATTGCTTGCAAGTGAATTATTGGTCTTTGGAGATTATAGTCATTATCATGCATATTCATGTCAAACTATGTTTTTCTCTTTAAGCTGTTGGTTTCTTGAACTAATTGCATGTGAATTATTGGTCTTTGGAGATTATTGTCATCTTCATGCATATTCATGTCCATATCTTTCCCTAAGCAGTAGTGATAGAAGACCTGAACAAAATTCGCTCTCCTATCTTTCCTCTACATTTCTAGTGTTTGTTATCGCATAATAAAGGCAGAATGAAGAATCTATGGCTCTTATATGTTTATTTTATTTTCTGCTGTGAAAGCAGTCACTTACAAGATTTTTTGTTTAAATAATGCTTTTGACTTTTGAGGTTTAAAATAACAATTTTCTTATTTCTGAAATCATAATATTACTGCAACTATATTTTTCTCTTTAGGATAAAATTGAGGGCTTAGAACAACAGCTAAATGAGGCCCTCCGTTCTGCTGAAAGTAGATCAGGGAGTGTGCCTGATTCAAATCTCAAGGCTGCAGAGGATAACGTGGATTCATCAGCTGTTTTAAAGAAGCTTGTAGAAGAACTTGTGATGGATTTAAGTCAGCCACAGCCTATGCGGGTCTATGCTAGGAGGAAGGTCAAACCAAGGCAGCAACAACAACAATTCACAGCAGCCGAGCAAATCACAACAGCCAAGAACACAAGCCTCTAATTAAGTAGAAGACAGATTGATTAAAGAAGAAGAGAAGGAAGGGAAGCAGTCTACTTATATTATGTTTTTCTTGATGTTTCCTAATTTGTGCTAAGAAGTCACATGTTTAATCCTAAGGTCATCTTGAACATGTAGGGAACTTAGTATAAGAGTAGTAATCTTAGCATGTAGAAGGTATCCAGAAATTTGTAAGGCAATCCTTGTAGAGTAGCGACCTCAAGTGGTTTGGACTCTTAGAGAGTGGTAGCCTCAAGCTACTCCCTTGTTATCCCTGTCCAAATTAATAGAGAAGCAGTCCTTCTAAATTGAGCATTGTCATTTAATTTAATTAGCCAATCCATTACAGAACTCCTGAAAATAGATGCGGTTTCCCATCAGCTTTATGACTCAATCTGAAATCTTGGAATTTTAAGTTATATTTTGGCAAGTACACTCCATGTGGAGGACAATATTTTGCCAGCCTTGGTCTTACAAATGTATTCTTAAGGAGCATGAAACTGAGTTCTAGATTTTAGGTATTTTGAGATCTTTGACAGGGGTTCTTGTCAGAAGATTGTCTAGAGTTGGACCTCAGAAGATTGTTTAGCCTGTTAATTATGTATATAGTCTAGATTAGATTTGAACTCAAAATCTCTAATTCTAGAACTAATTATCTTATTATCTTACCACCAAGCTATGTGATTTTTTATGTGATCTTTTGAATACAAAATCTATCTTTTATACTATATACTAAAGTAATCACCGGATGGGACACTTGGCATAATTTTAAGAAAAAATTTCCCTCCAAAATGCTTTTTTAAAAGTAAAATAAAAATTCTATTAACAAAATTAAAATTCTCTTAATAAATTTTATTTATATATATTTGTAACACATAAGAATTTAAAGGATAGACATTAATAAATTTAAATTTAAGAAAAAAATGTTACATAAGTTATTTAAGTTAATTAACTCTATATCGATTGACTATTATTATTAATAAATTATACTTTATAAATCCGTGCATTGCACGAGGCCAAAACTAGTATTAATATATAACATATGACATTATGAACAACAAATTTAATTAGAAGAAAATTGAATCATAAATTACAACATATATTACTGAACAGTTCCATGTAATAATCTGGGGCATCGCCTTTGCCCAAAAACTAGTTACAACTTAATTAGAAGGAAATTGTGTCAATTATTAACCCTAGCCCACTCTCTCTCTCCTCTCTCCTAAACTCTAACCTCCATGTCAAATTTGAAGGGGCTTACATCGGATTTCAACGGTGGAAAGCACCAATATTATTTTCTTTTAAATTTTTTGGTTTTTAGGTTACAATAATAATGTCTCCCTCGAAAGAAAGGGTCTATCTCTTTCGAAAGACAAGGTTTTTCGGACTCCTTCAAATAACAAGGATTTAGTTGTGTTTAATTTGGTCTCCGGTGTGCGAGGCTACGATTGATTATGGCTCGAATTCAGGCTACAGAATTAGGACAAGAATTAACTTTCTCACAAAATTGCGAAGCGATGATGGATCCACTCAAAAAGCTTTTTGTATGAGACAACGAATCGAGAATATGCTGAATTGTTATATTTATGTATTTGGATTCTTAGCCCTTCCCAGCTTAATTCTTGTTTGATTTTGTTAAATTTGTTTCATTATCGTGAATTGTCAATTATAAATGTCGTATGACTTTATCTAATGAAATTTAGTGTCATTTAGGAATTCTTTAAAGAAAAATAACTTAATTAAAGGGTTAATAGTACTATATTGTTACACTTTTAGTATCTTTAATCAATGTGTATGTAGCTTCTTTTAATTTATTTTTATAAATTTTATTATAAAAAGTGAAAATAATAAGAGAGACAAAAGGGGGAAAAAAAAAAGTTAGACGGAGCATAATTGTGTAATAAAGAAATACTACTACCGTTTGAAAATACATGCTCCATTAAGGTGTACACATAGTTGTCTTACACAAGTTTTAATTGATTAAAAATATACACAAGTGAGGCATTACTACCTATTAAAAAAACTCTAATTAATAGAGTGAAATAATATAATATGGGACTAGAGGACCATTAGGAAATAGATAAACAATAATATAATACTCCGTAATGAAAGAATTTTAAATTGAAAATTGGGCATTTATATAATTTGTCGTTTATAAAAACTGAGGTATTTATTTGGCAATGGAGTGGATAAGAAAAGTCGGATAACATCTCAAATTTTAATGGTTTGTAAGTAAACAAGAAGGCAAAAATACTCTAAACAAAAGATGATATGTTGGTATATTCTCTCTGTTCCATTTTTATTGTTTCATAGAGCAAAGTTAACTTTATTATTAGAAAATAAAGTAAAATTGTGTACAAGATTATTTGATGAGGTAATAGAGGGAGAAAGCAAGTGGGGTTGTAAGTTTACCCAATTATATAATAAGAAAAATCTTGAAAGGACATACCAAAGAAATACACTATGTAAGTAACAAAAAGAGATGAAGGAAGCATGGATTAGTTTGTTTCTCTTTCCTCTTTCTTTTTTATTATTATTTTTGAATAGTCCTCTTCCCACAACTTTTTAAAAACCAACTTAGGAGAAATTTAAATTGTGAGTTGCTTTCTATTTCCCTTTCTCCTTTATAAACCAAACACTCCCTTAAAGCCTTAACGTAAAACTATAAACCCGACACATATAAATTTTTTAGCAACATACATACATACGGAGGGTACAGTAAACGAGTCGAATATAGAATCGGAATTTATCAAATTCAACTTGTTACCAAAAGAATCCAAAATGCAGCAACTAGTAAGCAAAAGAGTTTGGGCTTTTGTCTAAACGTTGTCTAAGAATGTATGAACATTACTAGGGTTAACCATAAGCCGTATCCTTAACCAAAACCCCGTACTTCGTGTTCCCCTTTCAAGCTTTTCTTCCCTCTTCAATGGCTGATTGACATCACCAAAACCCTCAATCAGTCCTTTAATCCCTAATTTTATTCATTAATCTCTAATTTTCTTTCTCGATTTTCGTCTTCAAGTGCTTCGATGATTTGAAGATTCAATTGATTTTGGTACGCTATTTCTTTCTCTTTATTTGATTGTTATTTTTCAATTGGTTTGATGATTTCTGGAAATTTTGAAATTGGGGGAGAAAAATTGCGGATATTTGATTTTGTGGTCCTGAACTTTTGGTATGGATTCGAATCTTAGTATATACTATGTTATATTCTGCTGATTTCATTTCTAGGTTTATTTAAATTTGTTTTAGGTTATGTCATTGCATTTGTGAATTTGTAAATATGCGAATTTGTGAGTTTGATTTACATTTATTTATAGATTGGGATTTTTGAAGGGAAGGGGTCATGGTTTGATCAATTAAAGATAGATGAACAGAAAACTGTAGCATTCCTCAATGTTTAGATATATTAGATTTGATTAGAATTCAATTAGTAATAAATTTAAGGATAATTACGAGCTTAATTTTATGTACTAGTAATCGATCTGAGCTCGATTTGGTTAAAGCTTGGCTTGGGTCCATAATGTGATGTGCTAGGCATTGCCGAGCTTGGCATAAAAGCTCGCGAACTAGCTTAAATACATAAATTATATGGAATAGTTGAGCTATAATGAAAGCTGAGTTTGGCATAAAAGCTCATGAAAGATGAAACTGGCTTAAATATATGGATTACATGGAATAGATAAGCTATGATGTATGATTAACAATGTTGATTTTGACACGAAACTATAAGAATCGCAAAATTTTGGCAAATAAGTTAGAAATATTGTAAATTAAGCAAGTATATTATTTTACTTGTGTTTTGTTAGTGGAGCTCGTCTTGAGCTCAGGTTAAAATCAATTTCAATTTCAGATTGAGTTGAGCTTGAAATTTCAATTTTGACTATGAAGTAAGTTGAGCTGAGCTATATCTGCTACAGTACTACCCCAATCAATCTCTACTTAATTTGTTAGGTTGTTACCACCCCTGATCCAACATCTTTGTATTGTCGGAGAATTGGACAGTCACACAGCTATCTTCCGTAATATTTATGTTTCTGTTGTAAATTAAGGTGTAACTTCTCAACTCTCAAGTAACATACCCAAATCAAAGTTTGAAGAGTGTGGCAATGCGATATGAGTACTCGAATTGTATAAAGGTTTTAGCATTATCATCCTCAGCTAAGTGTTTGTACATATGGAATATCCGTGTGTTTTTTAACTTTCATTGTAAATTATGGTGTTTAACTCCCTAAGTAAACTTATTAATCTCAAAGCGTGAAGACTGCAACATTGGTTTTTTAGGTGCAATTTAGAGTCTAGGTACCAAATTCTAATGTGTTCTTCCAAGGCAAAATGTTCGTACATGTTTTCATATAATATTGTATCTGACTGACCAAAGTAACCATACTTGTCCGAAGTGTTAAGAATGCAACATGTGTACTTTAGGTGAAATTATCTATGTACCCCAGGTTTTGCTATTGTTATCCATAGCCAAATGTTTGTACTTAAAATTGGTTTGCTTCTGTAATATTGGGACTTAAATAATGGAGAAGGCATTCTCCACCCTGAAGGTTCAGATTGCTTTTGCATGCTCCTACATTTGCTTATATTTTTCTTTGTTTGTCTTTTTAGTAGTAGAACTCTTGATTAGTCCTAATTTGGCTGCTTCTGATCTCTGTACATTATACATCAATTGATCTGAATGCTTATACAACTTTTATTTGTAGTGGCTTCATTGACATTTTTAACCTTATTCTATCCCTCTTTAGGATTATCTTCAAATATATTCTTATACAAATGATCTGAAAATCTCACCGTATTTCCCTTCCTAATTACACTTTGTTTCATGTTTCTTTGTTTGGATAGAGATTGTATGGTGGTAACTTGATATTCTTCCAGACTCAAGCAACTGTAATTAAAAGGTGGAGAAATTCACCAAGTTTGGGCTGGAAATTTAAGCAAAATAGAATGCTGGATAAATACCCTCTTCTTGAAACCGAGCAAGCATTAGACTTGTGGCCGTTAAGTGAGATCTAGAATGGAGCAAACTGTTTCCGAAAGACCTTTGTATCAGGAGCAGCATATCAGCCAACTCCATACACAACCTAATGGTACAGTAAGCAGCAACGGTGCTCATTTGGAACGGGATCCAGAAGAACGATGGTGCCCCAGGAGAATTAGTGGCGATCAATTAAGACATGATAAGGTTCAAATGCCTTTATGTCGTGACAACTTACGAGGCAACTGTACTCGTGGAGCATTTTGTAGATTTTTACACTCTGAATCTGATGAACATGATAGATCTAGGTTCTGTCAGAATGAGCCAGAAAAGTTGGGTGATGTTTCAACCGTTGGAAACTCACAATTATATAGAACAAATGAAGAAGCTGGTTCCACAGCTAAATTTTCATCAAGAGGTCGCAGGTCTCCTTGCCGTAGATTTCAGAGTGGAAGGTGCTACCGTGGAGTATCTTGCCCATATTTGCACCCTGAAATGCCCAGTTTTCATAATTCGAGAGTAGAGCAGCAGCAAGTAGACAGAGCAGTAAGAGATCCTGGTTTTGATGGAAGGAATAGAGACAACTTTGGAAGGATTTCTCTGGAACATGTTGAAGCAAATAAGGAAAATAATTCAACGATCATGTCTTTTTCAAGAGAATGCAGGAGCAGATCTCCTTGTCAGCATTTCCTCAGAGGCAAATGTGATTTTGGAGCATCATGCAAACGTTGGCACCCAGTTAATACATATGCCAGTTCCAGACATGATTTGAATACTCAACATCAAGGAATTACAGAAACTTTTAATTACCCTGGTTCTGGCGAAAGAAGTCGAGATGTCACTTTGAGGACATCTCAAGAGCATGACAGAGAAAATATGCATAATCTTTTGAGAACTGGTGCTTTTTCGAGGGAGTCCAGGGAAAAATCACCCTGCCGAAATTACCTCAGGGGAAGATGTTATCGTGGATCATCTTGTTTACATTTGCACCCTGTTACTGTGTATGATAGACCAAGGTCTGATTCATGGAGTGCTGAACAACGTCAAGTAGTTTCTGGAACTTCGAGATCTCCTCATTTCGTTGATGGCAGTATAGCTACCAATTTCAGGATATCTCAAAGTCACGATCACAATAATTATGTAAACCAACCATGTCGTGACACACATGCTTTCTGTGAGCAAAACAAAGCATGGTTGACAAAGGATGGTGTGCAGTTGGCTGGTAGCAGAGAAGAAATGGATGTAAATGCAAGAAGTTCGTCTTATGAGAGGCAGAGAAACAGGTTGGCTGGTAATTTTGGTTGTGACAAGCCAATACGAGAGGTTTGCCTTCAGTTTACGAAGGGTAGATGTACCCGTGGAGAACTGTGTAGATATCTCCATGGATTCCATGAATATGCTACTTCTACCTACAACTGGAATGAAAAACCAAACGCAGAAGCTGCTCGAGATTCTGGGTATTTTGGTGTGGCAAATCAATACGCCAATACAACGACGGCTCAAGATCCTGCTGGTTTCAAGAACTATCAAAGTTCGTTAGGTGAAAGTAGTCTAAAAGCATCTGATGGTTGGTTTGACATGCGACGTGTTGATGGGCTCAGTTGTGAAGTTTCCGGAGAAAAAAATAGGAGTTTTTGCAATTCTGCTAAAGGACATGAGAATGTTAGTTTATGGAGTCGGCCATTCAAAAGGCAAAGAAGCAGGAGTAGGTCTCCCATCAACTTACAAGATGATTTCCATAGCCGGAAGTTTAGTAGATGTGATTCTCGGATTGACTTATATGGAGGTAGGTCCCGCAATGTTGCGCAATTTCAGTATCCAGATCGTCGTTCTTATAGGTATGAGAAGCCTGTGTATCACGTGAATGGCCAACAGCGGACATGTGAAGAAACTTCAGTGAACCCTCGCTCTTGTGAACATTATGACTCCAAGCTGATTACACCTCAAATGCATGAAAAAGTGGTTACTCAAGGTTTGCAGCTTGAACAGCATGCCAATGGCGGTGTTGGTTCAAATACTGTGATTGTGGGGATGAAAAATGAAGCTGATACTGTAAAATGTGCTTTACAACCTAGTCATACTAACCAAAATGAAGAGATATTAGCAGCAGACAGTGTTGCAGTAGATAGTTCAGAGGGGGCAGCTGCTACTCCTGCTAGTAGTCAAGATGCTCTGGAGTTGGGCTCAACATATTCAGGTGGAAAGCACCTTATTTCTCCATCGGCTAGTGATCGGACGATATTAGTACACGAAGCCAATGCTGAAGCACCCATTGATTCGGGTCAGGAAGGTAAAGATGAAACTGTAGAGTTGACACCATCAATAAAAACCTATTGTAGGAAGAAGAGTAAAAAAAGGCAGCCTATATCTTGTGAAGAACCTACGAGAGAAGAGGTAATTGATGCCTCAAAACAGGGCGTGGAATTCTGTTCTGTGGTAGACACTTCATTGAGTAAGCCAAATATTGTGAATGTTTCTAGCATTCCAGTAGATATGGAGATGAGTGCCACCAGAAATAATGGTTTGGAGAATGTGCTCATGCATGACCATCCAGTCAAAAAGAAGTTTAGGATAAGGCGTAAAAAAAAGGGCCCTGATGCTTCGTGTGAAGAAACCAGGAAGGGAGAAGTATGTAATGATTTGAAACTGGATACCCCTGTCTGTTCTTTGGAGAAGACTTCCTTGAGCAATCCAGATATTGTGTCTGTATCTGATATTCCAGCTGATGTGAAGATGAGTGCTTCCAATAATAATGATTTGCAAAATGTCCTCATGGATGAAGATCCAGTGATAAAGCAGGTAAAGAAGAAGAATAAAAAAAAGCAGGCAAAGAAGAATAAAAGAAAGCGCTCTGAAATGGAAACAAGTGCATCTTGTGAAGAACCAATGAAAGAAGAGGCAGCTGATTCCTCAAAACAGGGGATTCAAATCAGTTCTCTGCTAGATACTTCTTTGAGTGATGCAAATACCTTGTCTTTATCTGGAGTTCCAGTTGAAATGGAGACAAGTGCTTCCAAAAATAATGATTTGGAGGATGTACTTATGCGTGACCAGCCAGTTCAAAAGAAAGTAAAGAAGAAGCGTAAAAAGAAGAGACCTGCTGCATCTTGTGAAGAAACCATGGAGGTAGAGGTAACTGATGTCTCAAAATTGGGGACTCCTATCTGTTCTGTGGTAGAGACTTCTATTAGCAATCCAAATATTGTGTCTGTATCTGGTGATCCAGTTGATTTGAAGTTGAGCACTTCTAATAATAATGATTTGGAGAATGTGCTCATAGATGGCCAATTAAAAAAGAAGGTGAAGAAGAAAAAAAAGAAGCGTTCTAAATCCGCAACTATTGAAGAACCCTTGGAAGGAGATGTAGCTGATTCCTCTACACAAGTGATGCCAATCAGTTCTTTGGTAGAGACTTCTTTGAGTATCCCAAATATCATGTCTGGATCTGGTGTTCCAGTCGATAAGATTAGTGCTTCAAAAAATAACCATTTAGAAAATGTGCCTATGTGTGACAATCCTGTGAAACAGCAAGCTTTGCCATTGTCATTAAAAGGAGTTGTGCCAAATTCTAGAAGAAAGCTTCTTGTCCTTGATGTGAATGGGATATTGGTTGACATAGTCGTGGGTTATAGTCATCGATATAAGCCGGATACAAGGGTGGCAACGAAAGCAGGTTAAAGAATTTTACCTAATCTCACTTATTCATCACCTTAATTTGTGTTATTCTACTTATTTTGATTGATTTCATATTTATGTTTGACACTTTTCCGTTGTAAATTCAGTCTTCAAACGTCCTTTCTGCGATGAATTTCTGCAGTTCTGCTTTGATAGATTTGATGTGGGCATTTGGTCATCAAGAACTAGGTAATTATCTCTATCAATTCACTCATCTTTTTGTGGATTATGAGGTTTTTTTTTTCTCCTTGATTGAATCTGTTGTAAAATATTCTTTTGGTTTTCTCCAGTGTTGTATTCAGTACCCTGTAACTTGTAAACATGTCTAATTTGACAAGGCTGGGTAATTTATTAGATCCTCATCTGTAACACTATCCATAATATGAAATTCAAAGGTATTAGTCTATGAAATTTCAATAATTGTCTTTGTTATTGCCTTGTGTCTATGAATTCAATGTAGCTATGTTGTTACGAATAGCTATTGATTATACTTGGATGTGGCTGCTGTTATATCTGCACAAGGAGTATATATTCTCATTCTTGTTTCTGGCAACAGTAACCTGATTGATTGCCTTATGGGATCTCTAATTTTTCTTGCAGGCAGAACTTGAAGAAGGTGGTAGACTTTCTCTTGGAGGATTCCAAGGATAGGTTAAGATTCTGTTGGGTAAGACATTAATATCCAACAATGGAGTTTATATATGTTATAATGATGTGCTTGTCTTTTCAATTAGTGTTCTATTAGTAAAATCTTGCCAATTTATGATAAAGTAAGATAACTGTGTACAAATGCTACAATTCTTTTTCTGGTATTGTGACTGTTACTTTCTGTTCTACTCCATGATATATACGAGGAAAAATATATTTAAGATATGCCACGAAAAATCAGAAGATGTTTAGGAAGCTTTTTTTTATTTAGTTGTTCCTCCTAAAGGAAGGAAAATTTGGCAAATTCTTCAGAGTGATAATTTAGAAAACTGCTTGCCTGTGACTCCTGACTAGTTGGTTGTAAGGTCATGCTCATTTAGAACCTCTACCTTTCCTGGTCTAGCAGAGTTTACAGTCCATACTGAAAGCTGCCGCGGTTGTGCTGCAGTGTCGTAAAATCTGCTTTTTTTTAATTTTTTTTTTAAAAACATAATTTTAGAGACTGAACTTTACCACTTTTCTTAATTTTTTTATGAGTTTATCTTTCAACAATTAGTTTAAGTGGTTGATTAGCTGCTTATGGGGGATTTTTTTTTTTTTTTTCCTTAAGATGGATTAATAGCTGAGAATAAGTTAAAACATACAGTTATTATTCTGAATTTGCTTCATAATATGTCACAATTATTAGTGGCACATTGTTTTTCAAATAAAAATATTCTGCGATCTGTATGTTGTGTCTTGATTCTAGTTTGATCTTGATACTTAATTCTCATTGTTGCATTTTCTCACAATTATAGTTTTATACTCTTAATGCCTTTTTCAATTCGACCTTTGTAGTTTGGTTTCTGACTAAGCGAGAAACTCTTTCCAGGATCAATCCCATTGTACTGCTACAGAATACAAAACCCTTGAAAACAGGGAGAAGCCCCTTGTTCTAAAGGAACTTAAGTACCTGTGGTGGGACACCAAGGGGTCACGCCTTCCTTGGGATGCTGGATATTATAATGAAACAAATACAGTATTGTTGGATGATTCACCATACAAAGCTTTACGGAATCCTGTAGGTGCTAAATTATATACATTGTCTTCAGATATGTTCACAGAATAGGCTTTCATTGGATCAGTGTTATATTCATCAATCATTGTCAGGTCACCTCTGATACTGTTCTAATACTCTTTACCTTTTTTGGTACGTCTGTTGTTCAGCCCAATACAGCCATATTTCCGCGTCCATACAGTTACAAGAATGCTGGTGATCATTCACTAGGTAATATTACCTCAACCATTATAGAAGTTTATATTATGGGTAACTTGCTACTGGATAGTATTTGTTTCAGTGTCCTGCTTGATAATCATATTTGACAATTGACATGCTGTATTATTGTTGATCTACCTGGGTTGGATCTATATTAGTGCTTGGTTTTATTTCAAATACACGTGTCAGCTCCTCTTGTTGGTTCTGTTCTGTATTAATTTAATACATTTGCTGCCATTACCCCTTCAATTTTCGTATTTTAAGTAGAATTATCTATAGTATTGTGTAATGCTTTTTTCATAATTTGAAATCATGACAGGGCCTGGTGGTGATCTTCGTAATTATCTTGAAAGACTGGCAGAGGCTGAGAATGTCCAGAAATTCATCCAGGAAAATCCATTTGGTCAAAGGCCCATCTCCATTGCAAGCAGGTCTTGGAACTTTTATTCTAAAATTGTTGGTAACTACGGAAGGCAAGAAGAATATTCAAATATTGCCCCCGTCTCATAGCACTGTTTTGGTAGTAACATTCTGCTAAAAGCTGGTTGAATTTTCGTAAGATGTTTGGCGCCTATTAGGTTATATCTGCCAGTGCTGGCTGTATACTTCAGGGGTTGACAGACTTTAGTTTGTCGTTTGTTTGTCGCTGTGAGTTTGTTGAGCATGTACCCTTAAAGGCCTCACTCACATCCGAGCAGTGCTATGACTGCCTATTCTCGATGGTGGCCCTCATTTTTGTACTTTAGGTTTTATTTAGTTTTGTGACAGAAATGTACAACTTACAAGTAAATCATAGATGATAGGCTTATAATTTATTCTTTTAACTGGATCGTGATAAAAAGCTGTAATTCAATGTCAAGACGTGTAATGCTGTTGAGCCTCTTATTAAGAGAGTTGCCAAGGAGTTGAACCGAACCTGTAGCCATGTTTTCAATGCGGCTGATTTTTTTTTTTTTTTTCTCCCTATGTACTAATATAATGATCTTACAGTTTGTACCTTCTTTTATAGTACCCTGCTGTCTTGTGCTGCAAACAAAGTCTAGTTTGGTTGTACACAGGTAACATGCTGGAATATTGCAGGCACAACGGCACAAACCGAAAACAAATTAGCACATGGTTACATTTGTTTGGATTGCTGTTAATCATGATTATGACAATAATTGTGTAATTATGATGGAGGTTCAATACCATAATGTTTAAGATCCTGCTTGAAAGAGATGTTAAGTTTTCTCAGCAAATCATGTTGAAACTATATTATGAATCTCCCACCTTGATTTTCGTACATGAAAATGACTAGTAATTTTGGACCATGCATATATATTGTATACTACGGAGTATTTAATTACGGAATGCATTGTTTGGTTATGGAATTATGTGCATGAATCATGAATGTTTTGACATGTTTGCCTTAAAAAATAGTATTTTTTTTAATTATTATTATTGTGATCTTGTTTTCTTTTGGGGTTGTTGATTTTGCCAGCTGAGCTAATACTAAGCAATATATCATATCGAACTACCCCTTTGATGTAGATGCTAGAGAAAGCTACATTCTTTACTAGTACTGCTGGAATAAAAGTCATTTTTGGCTGTTAACTTTGATCTTTTGAGTTTCTCATGTACTGAATATGGCAGTAATGAGCCATCAAAAGCTTACCTCAATTTATTTTAGGTCTGTTCCATGGCGCGAGCTGTTATGGGCGGGTAGGGATGGGTCTGTGGAACCGGGTGGGTAATAGGTCAATTCAACCTGGTTCGACACAAAACTTACTACGTAATTTGATTTCATTGTACTAATGCAAGTATTTGCTTCCATCTCATTGTATCTTTAATTTTTTTTAAAAAAAAATTCCCACAGTTTATATCGTTGAATCTCAAATTCTAATAAAAAAACCTAGACATTGAGAAGAATAAGAGGAGGAATGCATGCATAGACCTTCAAGTCCAAAACTTGTTTTACATAGAGCAATCAGAAAATAATTAACCAATATTATTTGGAGGAAATCTTACTAAAAAGATAATGATCATTTTATTAACAAACATGTCCAATGCCATCACATAACTCCACCCTCTATATAAATTTTAATCTATATGTTTAGTAGTGTATCAACCATTTGGGTCATATACATATTATTTTAACATTTAAGTTTTTTATTTTATTTTATTTATCTATGACTCATTACAATACTCCGTATTAATTAATTAGCATCTATACTAAGGCATATCTATTTTTCTAGAAGTCATCGTACCATAATCTTTTATTTTTATTTTAAAAAATAAGAGGTTCACAATAGCTAAAATAGTCTTCTCTCAAAACTATCGTCATCTGCCAATCATTCACTTAGCAACTCTATTGACTATTGTAGTATAATACTATAGAATTATGCCATGTAGATGATGTGGTAGCAAGTTGCTAGTTTGCTACTACAACAAAGTTTCCTTATACTTGTATATGGCATTACTACTCCAGTCTCAAGGTATGGTTGTGTAGCAAACTTTAGCTTTAAGAATCACTTGCCCTTGTGAAGTTGTAATCACTTAATTCTTCAAGGGAATAATTTTCTTTCTTGTGCAATGATTAGTAGTTAATGTTTACAACTTTGTAAAAACTAAAAAAAAGTTGCCTTTAACTAAGGGTTATCAGTTATTTGACTGGATTTGGAAAGACTTGAAAGGATAAAATGATCACTCATTATTTGTGACATTGGGTTATTTGGATGATACAAATAAAAATATAAAATAATGAATTCTTTTCAATTCAGTAGCTATTTAATCATGCAATAATGATTTATGCCTATCTTATAATAATGAGATATTGAGATTAGTGGGGTTTAGGGTTACAAAAGAAAGGTAGGGCCATGCATCATGTACCAATCAATGAAAAATAGGATAATAAATAGAGATTTTGAGTTGGAATTAGTCATTCTTACATGTTATTTGAATAGTTGAACTCTTGCATATAGCACAGTAGTCATCTTATTTGTGGTGAAGTTTAATTCATTTTTTTAAAGAGTTATACCATTACCTACCATTCTAACTCCCCTTGACAATTGAGTATTCATCCTTTGGCAAAGGGTTTTTTAGATTTTTTATTTTATTTTATTTTTTTTCATAGAGTCGTGAAAGACGGTTTTATGTAGACATTATATATTAAAGCCTGATAATTTATCAAAAAAGAAAATAAACATTAATGTATAAATAATTATTCTATTAGTTATAATGTATTTTTTTTTATTACTCAACAATTATATTTGGAATTCATCTAGACCTGATAAACCTGATCCAAACCGAATCGATGACTCACTCTCAAATCATATGTGAATGTAATGACTTGCAATTTACTTGATTTAATTCACATCAAATAAAGTATAAGGTAAATTGATTTGCTCCTGTCAAAAAGTAAAATTGATTAGTTTTTTTTTTTTTTAAAAAAAAAACCTACTTGGCAATAGATATATCCAAATTTGACTAATTAAGTACTCAAAGGAATAGTCTTCTCACTCAAATATTATCCATATGTCCATCTCGATCTAATGGACATGTCCCAAACTCATATCCAACAACCTAATTACTACCTCTAATTCATCCAACCTTGATTTACCAAATTTCTATGAATTTTTTTTCTGAAATATATTTTAAAGATTTTAATATACGGTCGTATTTTTTTCTTTTAACAATAAATACTTATATATTGAATGTTACAATAATTTTTTTTTTAAATTTAATTTAATTTATTATTATTATTATTATTATTATTATTATTGATTAGGGGATTTTTATCCACCAAGCGCCGTTTGACAAGTGGACCAACCAGGTTCCGCCACGCGTCCTCCACGGACCACTTAAGACACGCCACGTGTCCACCCATGCCAAATGGGACAACCGGCCATCAAGGCCCATTTCAGTCTAGAAGCCCGATCGGCCCTAGGTTTACCTTAAACCTAGAGAGTTGCACGCTTCCCAAGGCTATAAATACTCGATTAATCCTCATTAATCAAGGGATCGAATACATTACGGAACACACTAATAACCGGCTGATCTCACTAGCAAAGCAGATTACCTACATTAAATACTCTCACCTAGAGAGACCTTATTACTTTAATTTCTGTATTAATTACTCCTTAATCAGGTACTAACTTGACCGTTGGAGGCGGAGCTCTCAGGAGTCTCCGTTATTTTGCAGGTACAGGCGTCCGGTTCCAGTCTCGGAATTGTAACTCTCCCGCAGGACATCAGAAAACCCCGAAACATTTGGCGCCGTCTGTGGGGAGAGTACTTCAGAGATGGCATCCAAGTCTGTACCGACCCCAGAAGAGAGGCGTCCCCTAGACGACCCTCAAGTTCAGTCGGACCATGATACCGAAAGTGAATTTGAAGTTGAAACTCATACAGCTCCAGACGGGACCCTAAGGGCCCGCCGTACCCGTCATACTGAAATAAGGGAACGGGAGTATCTTCAAACAGGAAGCGAGCCAGCAGGCGCACCGCTTGCTCGGCAACAGCCGACTGATGGGTCTGCTCCGATCACAAGGAACGAACTCATGACCTTCATGAGGGGATTCAAGGGAGAGATCCAAGAGTTGATCAACAAAAAACCGCCTGCTTCAGTCAAAGAGCAGGCGGCCAAAAAACCTTCCACTTCACTGAAGAGGAAGCCAGTTCAAGGGCGAGAGGCGACTCCCCATCCTAAATCTAAGAAGCGGGAGCCGTCTGCTCTTGATTTCACAAAACTCCGTTATCCTACGGGAAATAGGAAACCGGTTCGTCATATTCAGGCGGACGGGTCAAAGCAAACGTTCACAGATGCTCGGCACCTGCTAGAGCAGAAGAGGAGTGACCGATTATCAGAGTCGGCTTCTACTTCAAATTTTCAGGACAGTTTGCGAAATGCCTCGATGAGGCCAACTCAGTCGTACCATGAGAGTCAGTCAGGCGGCACCTCCCGACAGTCTGGCTTTCATAGTGCGCAGGCGGTACCAAATTTGCCATTTGTGCCGCAACAACAATATTTTATGCAGCCACCTCCATTTGGTGGACCTGCAGCAAAAAACGTCCAACCTATGGACTGGCAGCTACGGCTGCTTAGACTTGGTGAACAGCCGTCGGCCTTCTCCAAGGAAATTACTGAAGCCGCTCAGCCGGCCAAAGTAAAAAATGTTTTAGTAGGCGCCTATGATGGCACTACTAACCCGGAAGACCATCTGATGGCATTCACCAACCTGATGTACCTTCAAGGGTTGGATGATCCCACTTGGTGCAAGTGTTTCCCAGCAACTCTCAAGGGAATTGCACAGCAATGGTTCGGCAACCTGCCGACTGGTTGTGTAAACAGTTTCAGGACGCTTGCTTACTTATTTGCCTCCAACTTTGCAATGAACATCCCTGCGAAGAAAACGACCCTTGATTTGGGAACAATTCAGCAGGGTGAAAAGGAGGGGCTTCGTTCCTACATCAGGCGGTTCAACCTGATGAGAATACAGATTCAAGGGTTACCAGATGAGGTAGCTTATACTGACTTTTTTAGAGGTCTCAAAGACGGGTCTACCTTCAAATTTGATTTAGTTCGAAAAAGGGTGGCGACTCTTCAAGAGGCCTTGATTGAAGCAGAAGCCTATATACAGGCGACTGATCTGTGTACAATGAAACAGTCGGACGGGAAGAGGTTCGACAATAGAGAAGGACGACAGAAACAGTCGTCCAACAAAGATGAAAAAAGAAAAGGGGTCTGGGCGACTGCATGTCTATACTTTTTCCAGGCAATTAAGAAAAAGGCAAGGTTTGAATGGGGGCCGGATGCTGAGGCCGCCTTCCAGAAATTAAAGGTTCACTTGCATTCCTTGCCAAGGCTGGTCAGCCCTTTGCCCAAAGAAAATCTCTACATGTACCTGGCCGTCTCTGATCATGCGTTAAGCGCGGTGCTCCTTGCTGAAAGGGACGGCTGTCAACTTCCGGTCTACTTTGTCAGTCACGTACTGAAAAATGCCGAGTTGAGGTATCCCCTAGTGGAGAAATTT